GTGTCAATAATTGTATTGGCAATGTGGCCTCTTTCTGCACACATACAAACCAACCCCTGGCACCACCTTCTGCCACAACTCCATTGGTCTAATGGTCTATGTCATGGACTTTCATGTGGGAGATCAGRGTTCAAAACCCAGTTAATGCAACTTTAAGAAAAAATCTCTTCAAACTTCATATTGTCACACAATTACCTTAATTACAAACACCTGCTGATGTGACAGGCGCAAGCTGGTATAGAAAACACATTTGAACTTTGTCAAAGTTCATTCTGCAAGTCCAGTGCTGCAGGCAAAGCCATGCTGCAATGACATGCTACATGGCAATGCACACTTGTTTTTACATCGTAAAAACCCATGTCCAGTTCTGTATTCTCTTCTATTTTTAAAGTCAAATAATTAGAAATTTTTGTAAGGGTTTTGTTAACTAATTTGCTGGATTTCCTGTTTTCTTAAAATAAAATGAAAATAGAATAACCATACATTTTTCAATATCTATTTTTAAAATGAAAAACGAATGACCAAAAAGTACACGGACCCACGAGCTGTAAAATCTGAAAGAAAAAAAAACTTATCAGATTAATCAGTATTTTACTACAGCTCAAAGCAATTGAAATCACTACTGGTTAACAAGAACAAAGTTAATCTCGTACAGTATCTTACATCATTGCAGGAAGTGGAAAGTAAAAAGCATCCCTCTGGATAAACAAGGACCCACTTTTGGCATCTCCACCGGCCTTGTGCGTGCCCCCGGGCCGTTAACTGAAAACAACCGGCGCAGGAGAGTTCACCGAGGCCGTGCGTCCCGGGTTCCTCTCGTGCTGCAGGTTTTTTTCTCTCTCTTCTCTTTTTCTATTATTCTTCAATGGGACTCCTGGTGTAACTCCTCTGGCTGATAAAAGGTCGGCGCTAGGACCCGGGAGGCGCCCAGCGCCTCAGCGGCTCAGCAGCAGCAGCAGTTTGGGAGGTGTAGTGGAAGAAAAGGCAAGAGAGAAACGGAGTAAATGAGTGCGCTTCTGTCCACATTGTTGAAGGACTTATCAACTTCAAACACTTTCGAAACACCTCCCTAGAATGAGACGGACACGCTGTTGAGCTCCCGGCCAGGTAAACGTCCACGTTTTCTTCGCGTGTTTAACTCCAAGAAGGTCGAGAGCTGAAAACAGGGTAGGTCCCCCATTGTACTCACATACATGGGATGCGGTTATTCTCACCCGAGCTGCCCCGCTAGGCCCCATATCCTTTCTGTCGCTAACAGCAAACCCGAATTTTGCTACTTTTCTGGCTTCATTTCCCCGAGGAAGTTACCGAGCAGGAAAGACGAAGGCTTTACAAACACCACGTAATGAATTCCAACGCGTCGTTGCTCCACTACAAACATTTAGTTCGCCTTTTTGTTGTTGTTCTAAAGAAGTCAGCCAGTCGGTGTTTTGGCAAAAGGCGCCTCTTTGAAAGGCGAACAAAACAAAACAAAAAGTATCTTGCAGAAAGTTGTTTTTGCCCGAGCTTTATGGCCCTGGAGGCAAATGAAAACAAATGAGCTCAACAAGAAGAGAGGGCAGCTCATTCATTGTTATAAACCACCACKGCGTTTGTTTACTCACTTTGGTTGGACTTTTATTGCCACACGTTTAACCTTTAGTCACTTGCTTTGTTGGGTKTTTTTTGTTTGTTTTTCATCACAGTCTCAGCAGACAAAAAAGTTAACACACTTTTATTTTTTGTGACTTGTTTGACACTGCTGGCTCTCAAAATGGGGCCTTTTTTATGTAGTTTTTTTTCTTTTGTAAACTTCAGGGAGGTCACAACGAAAATGCCACAACTAACTGTGTTATTTTCTAGTTTTCCTCTCCAGTAATCATTCCAATGCGATAATGCATGTTTTTGATTGGCTCCTCTGTCTTCACTGTCATTATCACCACCACCTACAGCAATGACAGTTGTTCACATATCCACTTAATCATGCTAACTACAGGGTCTTTTTGTTGTCAGGTAAGTTTATTTGTGTAGAAACAAGTGAAACGATGTGATGCTGACATGCAAGAGGTGAATGTTTGTTTCCACTCCCCCCTCCCTCCAGAGTTCAAAGCAGTGCTGTACCCTTCAAGTGTCAAAATGTTTTGTTTTTATCAAGTCATGAGACTACGTCTGTCTGTTGTGAGCTTGGCATGTGACCCGAGGAAGACGCAACAAGCTGGCGTAATGATGCCGCCAGTGACTCTCCCTGTTCTATTTAGAAAATACCAGTCACCTCCCACCCAATCCCCTCGCAGCCCCCATTGACGCAAATGYGCCACTGGTTGCATGCAGAATCTCAAGAATGTTCTGTGAAAATTTAGCTTCTTCCAACAGATGGGACTCGGTCAGGAAACCCAGGAGTTGAATGTGACCGAGGAAGGTGCAGGTTACCGTTACCGCTCTTATTTTCAATCTGTGTCACAAAACGTTTCAGCAAAAACACCTTTTTTTTGTTCTGTATCACTCATCTTTTGATTCACCGCCRCCCTCGAATGGTTTAAGTATGTGGAGTTTGCTGATCTTTTAAAATAGTCTGAGTATCTGAGTAAAACAAACAAACAAACAAACACATCAACACGAAGGCTTTGTCGGCCGCGACGTCACAAGATTATGCCACCGAGTCTGCTTTGTTTTTCAAGGTCGCTCTTGTTGCCGTTTGGCATTTCAGCAACAGTTACTGCAATGTTCTTATTATCAATGATGTGTTTTCAGGGAACTTGAAAGAGGAACCCGATTCTGTAAAGTAGATTAGACTAATACCAGTTCCACTGTAGTGTTTGAAAACAAACGTTGCCCCCAGGGACCAATTTCCAGTAGCAGGTGAGCTTGTTTTGAAGTTTCCATTTCTTTTTTTTTTTTTTTAAATCACGTGAAATCCTTGAGCGTAATGTTCTGCCTTTTGTAATGACAAACCTGCTGCTGACTGTATTGTTTACCTGAGTGCCAGCAGGAACCAGGGGGAGAATCGGGCTTGTATTGATCTGCTGTGATGACAGAAGTGGTGTGGTGATGTCGGCCTGATTTTTCTGCTTCCTGCCCCAAGCTCATGGGACTGTCCTGTATGTTTTGCTGCGTGACACTGATTTGCATTGAATGGGATGCTCTCCCCTTCCTTTTTAGCTGGAGCCAGAAAGATGAATGATTGAAAACTGTCCTGACACCAGGGCGGGCAGGGAGGCAGGCAGGCAGGCAGGCGGTGGCCCACAGGCCTGCAGACCATGTGACTTGCCGTCGGGGTACTGGGTTCATTTAGTGGCTGCAGCCCAGCTTTTCCACCCAGGCCACAGTAGCAATAGGTCGCTCCCATTAAAACAGCAGCACTCTGTTGTGGCTCCAGAGCCAGTCTTGTGCACGTGTCGCCTTTTGGACTGCGGTGTGCGCGTACTAAAGTTTGTTTGTGCGATGCGTCACTGTGTGTGTATATAACGTGTCGATGTCGCCGAGTGCGCCGCCGAAAAGGATCCGATGGTTTGAGAGATCCCTAATTTGACTTRCGCTCGGTGCTTCTTTTCAAGACGCTTCCAGCATTGATTACATGAGAGAAGCTCATCAGGGCAATAAACCAAAACTTGTCAGAAGAAGAAAAAAATGCTTTGATGTCGTACGCTCACCTTTTTTACTTGCTGTTAGATGTGAGAGTAGAATGACAGTAAAAAGTGTGTTGATCACACATTTAGTGAGAGATGAAGTCAAGCCCAGGGCTGTACCGATATGACTCGTAGTCTGTCAATAGTTACATTCACTTCCTGTTGTTGGCCACACCAGTAAGCTGAATGAGGCCAGTCAAACAGAGCTTCTCTTTGATGCAAAAGCAGGAAAATTGATTTCAGTCAATGGTCGGGAATTGCCTGGTGCAGTGTGTGACGTTTGTGTATGGAAGCATGGCAATTGATTGTTTTCCTTCTGCCCTGCATTCAAAGCAGCATTTGTCAAGAAGAAGGCCTGAATGGATCAAAATGTCAAGTGTTTTTAGTAATGGTAGCCTGTAGAGGTTTTTTTTTTTTTTGTATATACTGTTTATGTATAACTACGTGGTGTGGATCTCAGCCAGTTTGTCAGATGACAGTGCACTTTCCCCGTACACAAGCCGTCATACAGTTTGATGTAAGGTTGAACTGTGTCGATTTCTGCAGCTTGATCTTTTAYTCGTATTTACTTTTTGTGCTACAGACGGTGTATTCATGAAGTCATAGATACACGTGATACTTAAACATTTATTCTGTAATCTTCACTTTGCTTTTTTTGTTTACTTGTGGAACCAGGAACACAAGTTCTTGTCAAATAAGTATCAGTCTGGAATTTTTTTGGGCTTATGCTGTAAGATCCAGTTTGTCTTAAACTAGTTATTTTGAACATGACAGTGGCAAAAAATAATTTTAAGAAACAGCATTTTTTCCCCTGTATGTTTCCACTGTAAGTTTAAAAATGGTAAGATTTATAAATAAAGCAATCATACTTTAGTTTGGGTGCTCTGATACRGAGTACCGAGTATTTACTGCATTGGAGCTTAAAAGTTACACAATGACTTAAAAACGTATTTCTTTCATTTAGAACAAGGTGGCTTTCCTTATAGACCTACAGCCCCCCCTGACTGTACCATCACAAACAGCATGATATATACTGTTACACATTTTAAAGTAATTAAAAAGAACAAATATGATTTTCTTTCAACTTGTAAATTTCTTTGGAACATGGAGCTGACAAACTTTTTTAAGTTGTTAGTGTCAGGGCTGTGTGATAAAACAATAACAATATATATCGCAGTAGACTAGGGGTGTCCCGATCCGATATTGATATCAGTCCGATATCAGCCAAAAAATGAGTATCAGATTTTATCGGCCTGCATAAAAAATGTCTGATATAAGCGCTCCGATATTAGCAGTCCGTTCCACCAGTTCACTGACTCCGCTCCAGTGTTTCTATCCAGCAACGCTTGGATCCAGCATGCAGAGCTCACGTGATCACAACAACATGCTGCGCTAACAAGTTAGCAAGAATGCCGGCAGAACTTTCTATTTTCATCAGAAACAGAATTGAAGCTAAGTGCAAAGTTGTCATGCACAAGTTTTCCGGAACCGTGAACGTTTTAAACCGGAACGACAACTACTCTCCACCCTGGAAGCAGCTTTGCGTTTCGGCTCGGTTCGATCAGCCT